AACCTTCAACTTCAATATTATTTGAATATTTCAGTCAAATAAGAGTCACATGAGAATTTTACAAAATGTTCCCTGTGTGGCCGTCGTTGGATATCTCTCGAATACTGTCACCATCAACGCTGGTGTTCCCCTGGGATCCATATTGTCTTCAGCCCTCTTTTTATTGTATATTAACGACTTTTCGAACAAAAATAAAAATTCAAAATATTCCTTTGCTGATGACAGCACACTTGTCTCGTCATTCCATTTGGATTCCAGTACATCGGCTACGGAGGCACATCTTCAGCGGCAGCAGGAGGTTGCATATCTTGATGAGGATCTAGAAGTGAATTTGAATTGGGGTGAGAGTAACCAGGTTTAATTCAATGCCACAAAAACTCAGGCATCGGTTTTCTCCAAGAAGATAAATGTCTTCGAACCGGATATAATAATGTCAGGTCAGACAATTCCACTTTCTGCTTCGATAAGTTTGTTGGGAGATAAAATGGACACCCGTATTTCTTGGCACAATAATGTCGCTGGAATTGGAATTGGAAAGGCTGCTTCTCAAAAGCTTGGAACGCTGTTCCCAACCAGAAAACTATACACACCTCAGCAACTTTCGATGCTTCATGAAGCTCAGGTCAGACCTTCTTTGCAGTATTGTTCTCATGCATGGAGCCCTGTCCCCAAACATACCCTGAAGTTTCTAGATTCCATCCAGAGAAGAGCCGCCCGCCTGATTGGAGACGCGAGCATCACGTGCAACCTTGATAACCTGGAACATCGAAGAAAGGTTGGAGATTTGTCTCTCTCTTCTATTAATACTTTCACGGAAGGTGTTTAAGTGACTTGGTATAGTTGATTCCACCAAGAACGGTACACATCAGAAATACGCGACGAACTGTGGCTGCTCATCTGTTTGAGGTCAATTCAGTACACCTTGAACTTCACTGTTTAAGAAATGTTTCATCCGGGGAACTACGTTTATGTGGAATAAACTTCCTGAGAACATTTTTCCAAATAGATTTAATCTCCAGCGATTCAAGTCCAACGCAAATTGCTAATTTCGCATAGGCACCACTCTAATAGCGCCTTAAGGATTTTCCTGTAGTGCTTGTGTTTTGTCCTTGAAACAATGGTGAGAGTGAATTCATTCACATGTATTCACTTTACAATTTTCAAGTTAACGCATATAAATTCAATAAGATTCAGAAAAATCTGAATCTGAGTCATTTGATATTTCCATTGAAAAATGTATTTTACAGTTTCCAGTCATATCTGTCAAAAAATTGAAGTAGCTACTGCGAGTATGAATTACATATCAAAATTGAACCCTTGTAGAGAGTTTTTCATTGCATGTTTTCTTCATGTGTGCAGTAAGCAAATCAACAAAACATATTAGCATATTACTCGAAAATAGGAATTTCATCTTTGTTATCTTTCGCTTTTTATCTTTCATATGGTTCTAGTCAATCAATTTTGTACCGAAGAAAATTTTAAATAACATAACCTTGACTTCATCAGTGTCTCAGCGATAGCGGTATTATAATTTGTTGTGTTTCCATTAACAATACTTCTCATATCGCAAATTTCATATGTAAATCCAAATAGTATTCTTCATAAAAAGTCTGTGTTTGTATCACTACAATTACCGAAGAAATAATTGATCAATTATATATTTTTTGCCTTGTGAATCATCAATGAATGATAATCAAAACGCTACTTCAATGTGTTGTGAATGTTCAACTAGTCAAGCGAAAGTTGATTAGTTCAAAGTAATGCTAAAGCATTAACTATTCCAGTTGAAGGCCGGGTTGGGAATGGTTATACCCGGATCTTTCGATCCGAGTATAACCATTCCTTTCCAAGATATAAAAATTGGCACACCATAACCCAATCATCATAACCTCGTTTTTCCAACTTAGAAAGAGTACATTCCGAACATGATAAGGAACTCTTTCGAAGTGATGAGCGAATTGTTACACCATTTCGTTTCCCAAGTTTTTTAATTTTCTGAATTTGAAATGAATCTAAATAACCTGATCTTGAGATGACAATTGATATGTGAAGTTATCCAACTCATTTACAAACATTGTCAGTGTCATTTGCTGATTACTATTCATAACGGACTAAAGTTACGAGTGAGGACTCTGACCTACATCGTGATATCATTGTATAATGTTTCAAGCTTTTTTTGCAGATAAAACAGAATAACGTAAACACAAACTGCGTAATATTAGTCATAAAAAGAGATTATGTTTATTTTGAACTGAAAATACATTGATATTGTTCAACTTCTTCCTGAAGTTGTGAAACCCGAGAATAAACAGAGTGAAACATGTATTTGACACACTTGATTGATACAAAAACAATAAAAAATGTATTTCAAAGGAAGTGAACTGAATCATTGGTAGATTTTCACTCTCAAATAGTAGAGTAGTAGTTCAAAGTACAAAAAGATAGATCTACTGCGAAAATAGTGGACCTGGTGATACTGAACAGGGTGCTCGATGTATTCTTCACGTGCAGTTTATTGATTCGCAATATCTCGCAATCTAATTGCGTTTGTTGTGAGAGGTTTGATCTTCTTCTTCGCAGCATTGCAAATAACATTTTGTTGGTTTTGCTGACTTCGCTTCTTCTATGATAAGATAATCATTAATGCGCGCTTAGTTACAAATGCCATGCCTTTATTTTTTCTGAAGCAATCACAACTGTTAAAATCTAATAAATGGAACCTATTTTTTTATTTTTCAATTATTTTATTCGAAACTTTAATTACAGGCAAATCGAGCTATATGAGTGGTGTAACTTACATAATTTTGAGACTTTGCTTCATACAGTGCATTTCGTTAATGTCCCCCCCTTTTATTTTTTTAACTAGTCGACTCAAAAAACTGAAATTTGAGATAATGAAATTGATACATGAATACTTCATTTTGAAGAGAAATTGAAGAGAAATCTGGGAAAAAAATTGAATGGAAAAGGGGGTTTTGTCACATATCGTTTTGAAGCTCCTGACGAATACTTCACAAACCTCAAACCTATAATATGAAGTCAATATCGTCACCAACTACAACATGGCGGAACATTCAATCATTTCCTGAAAACAAACATATTAATATCAATATTTCTAGAAATATTCCTTTTTATCTGCCATATGGCAATTCCAACAATTGTTAAGTCATTTTTCGTTTATAAATACGACAAAAAATGTCAGTACTACAATGAACACCATTGTTCATCCCCAAAAAACAGCAAGTACAAATAAATTGGTGAGACGGTAGCAAATCCTGAACAGTCTACTTATTCTGTCGCGAATGTTTGTGAGGTGTCTCCTTCTTCTGTGTGGAGACTTTTGAAGAGGAATATGTATCATCCATACAACATTAAAATTGTACATCAATTAACTGAAGATGACCCTGATCGAAGAACAGAATTCATGACGGAAACCATTGCAAGGCATCTTACCCATCTCCACAATATTTGTTTTAGTGACAAATGTACATTTTTTTTAAACGGCAATATTCACAGAATTCAATATGGATATTGCATTTCAACAAGATGGAACACCAACACATTACTCCATACAAATAAGAAACTATTTGTATACTACTTTTCCTGGTCGTTGGATTGACCAACGAGATCCTACAAAATGGCCAGCCCGCTCGCCAGATTTGACACCTTTGGACTTCATTTCATGGGACTATTTGAAGCAAAAGGTATACGAAACTGAACCTGCTTCAATATTGGATGTACGGCAGAAAATAATAAATATTTTTAAAGATATTGACGTTACTGTGTTCGAAAATGTTAGGCGTGAAATATCGGATAGGATGTTCATATGTCAAGAAGTTCAAGGCAACCATTTTGAGCATCTTCTCAATTGACCGCAAGCTTATTACCTCACATTATGTAGTTAAATGTTAATGTATTCAGGCAATTATTAAAAGTTCCGCCATTTTGTAATAGTTGAAGATATTGACATTATATTCTAGAGTTGTGAAGCATTTGTAAGGAGCTTCAAAATGATGTGTCACAAGACCCCCCTTTCATTTGGTTTTTTCCCAGATGGCGTCCGGTCGCCATCTTGAAAATTTCATCTGTCAACTTCACTTTAAAATGCAGTATTCATGCTTCAATTTCTTTTTCCCAAATTTCAATTCTGAGTTGACCCGTTCAAAAAATAAAAGAGGGGGGCATTAAAGAAAAGCACTGTATATTTGAGTGTATTTTCAGGCAGAAAATATCATTAGTTGTCAACTATAATATTATCAAATGTCACGAAAAATGTCACAACAATGAAAAATTAGATTATCCACGGTGCATTATTATTCTTGAGAAACTTTGAAACAGATAAAGTCAATAGCGTTTGGCGTAGACCTCATTATATTTCCTTAATTTCATTTTGGAAGGATCAGTGGATCTATCGGTACAAACTACAGTCTGCTATTCCTGTTTTTTCAATATACTTTATTCGTGATGTCTCTCTCAAAAATGTCAAGCATTGTTATCCCCTACAACTTGTTTTCGAATAGTTTTGAAACGATACTCATTATAAATTCAGTATTATATCATATAATATATTCTGGTACTCCATATTTTTATTGCTGAATTCAACGAAATGAAGAACTATGACGACAATTAGAAATCAACTAATAGACGATAATCTACTCACAGGTTCTTTATATTTTTTTCCGGAATGAATTATGAAGAAGACTACAATATCAAAATTATCACTGTGAAGCGTAAAATGAATATTTTACTCTTGAGAAAGCTATTCTATAGCGAACACGTGTTGCGGTTTTTGTAAAACCCTTTATAGTTTAAATCATACAATAAACTGTTTTGATAAGAGTGAATCTGAAGTTCACAAATTCACTATGCAGTGCCCTGAAGATGCCTTTGTAAACTAGAAATGTCGACATTGAGTTTATCGGTATATAAATTGTACTATTTTTGTAATATCATAATTACTTTTATAGAACTGAAATATAGCGTTAATGATTCATTTTCAGGATTTCTGAGCCTTGAAGATCAATCGCTGGGAGTTCCTGGAAACGCTGGATTGAAAGACCAAACACTTGCTCTAAAGTGGGTTCAAAAAAATATCAACAATTTTGGTGGAGACCCTCAAAATGTTACTATTTTTGGAGAAAGCGCTGGAAGTGCCTCCGTTCATTATTTGACTCTATCGCCACTTACTAAAGGTAATTTTCAAACAGTCGATTTTCATATCTATTTCAACACTCTAACAATACATATCTGAAATGTTATCTACAGTTGATTTATATTCGTGAATAGAGTTATTCACGGAATAATGTTCGACAATTATGTTTGATTTTTTTCATGTTCCTTTCATATCTGGTATATAAATAAAATCTTCAGAATTTCATATTTGTCCTTCAAAAATTCCACAATTTTTCTGTAATGTATCTGAAACTGTTAGATAAATTAAGTGTAATTTCGTATAGTATCAGTCATTTTCAAATGTAATAATTTTCACCTCGAGGTCAAACACTGAGTTACTTGTTCTCAAAATGAAGATGTTTTCCTTCTTTCAGGTCTATTTCACAAGGCCATCATGCAGAGCGGGAGTGCATTAAACCCCTGGGCTCGAGGCAGGAGAAATTTTGCTGATATCGCCAAAGCCATTGGATACAAAGATGCTGATGAGAAGACAGTGTTCCAGAAACTTTGTAGGGCTAGTGCAAGAAGTTTAGTCAGCGCTCAATTCAAGATCGAAGACGTATGTATCTCTGTTCTCCACATCCATATTTTTAGTATTTATCTATATTTCATTCCGTGAAATTCAAAAGCAATCAACTGAAATTGGGGTTATGATAAATGTATACTTCAATTACTGTTGGAAGTGTCTAGAAAAAGACAGAAGAGGAAAGAATGCAGCACTAGTGAATTCGCAGAATCTTCTTTTGTGAATTTCACTACGCAATTCGCTAAATTGTTAATATTGATAGCGATCAACTGATTTTTCCAATTTTGTTCAACGTTCCCAAATAGAAACACTCAAGGTTCTCATATTATTTCACATCAGTTGTTTTTCTTCGACAAATAATATCATGATATATAATTGAATCGATTATTCTTCGTGTCTGTCTGTGTTTTTTCGATGGCAAGGATTTGGTGTCCTTGAAGCTTATTTTTCAGCTTGTTTCAAGATGATATTCGAAGAGGTATGAGACTGGATATGATTTACGCACATAGCTCACGTTCATAGACTCTGTTGTTGACACTTTTGTTGATCTGGCCGATATGAGTTTTGGAGCAGGTGAAACATGGTATTTTTTATATGCTCTATATCGTGGCCTTGCACATTCGTGAAAATGTGAAAATATGATTTTTGGCGTGTGAATATCGATCTCATATCGTGCCTCTTCAGAATTCGCACCATTTTGTCGGTAACTCCTTGACTAATGAGTGATTTTTTGGCTGGTATCTTTTTGGCAACATTGTTTTTGACAGATCACACGTGAATTGTGTCTTGTGTCTTTGTCAGTTCAGTTTGGTCTATAATTTAACCATGAATTGACTTACGAATGAACAACGCTTACAAATTATTGAATTTTATTATCAAAATTCATGCTCGGTGAAGAAAGTGCATCGTGCACTTCTTCCAATTTATGGGCAGTTTTTCGGCCTACTGAGGGAGCTATTCGGAAATTTGTGACTAAATTTCGAACCCAGTTTACATTATTGGACATTGAACCACCAACACGCATATGTAGAGTGAGGGCCGAAGAAAATATAATGGCTGTATTCGCCAGTGTTCGTGATGACCGTAAAATGTCGATTCGCCGCCGTTCGCAGCAATTGGGCCTCTGTTACTTCACTACGTTGAAAATTTTGCAGAAGGATTTGGATGTGAAACCTTATAAGATACAGCTGTTGCAAGAATTGAAGCCACACGACCTCCCATAACGTGTGACATTTGATGAATGGGCGCTGGCAAGAAAGATCTACATTTTTATCGAAAAATTGTGTTCAGCAACGAGGTTCACTTCTGGTTGAATGAATACGTTAACAAGCACAATTGCCGCATCTGGAGTGAAGCATTGCAAAAGCTACCGATGCATCCCAAAAAAGTCACTGTTTGGTGTGGATTATGGGTCGGTGGCATCATCGGGCTTCTTCAAAGTCGACAATGACCGGAACGTAATTGTGACTAGCGAGCGCTACCGTGTGATGATTGACGACTTGTTGTTGCCCAAAATGGAAGAATTGGAGATGCCTGACGTGGGAAACAATGGCCCAATTAAGAGCCGCCTTCGGTGAACAGTTTATCTCACGTTTGGTGCCCGTCAAATGGCCTCCTAGATCGTGTGATTTAACGCCTTTGAATTATTTCTTGTGGTGTCATGTTAAGGATAAACAGGGATAAACCAGCATCTAATGACACTCTGAAAGCCAATATTGAAGCATTTTTACGTGAAATACCGGTCGATATGTTAGAGAGATTATGCCAAAATTGGACCTTACGCAGAACCCAGTTTACATTATTGGACATTGAACCACCAACACGCATATGTAGAGTGAGGACCGAAGAAAATATTATGGCTGTATTCGCCAGTGTTCGTGATGACCTTAAAATGTCGATTCGCCGCCGTTCGCAGCAATTGGGCCTCTGTTACTTCACTACGTGGAAAATTTTGCAGAAGGATTTGAATGTGAAACCTTGTAAGATGCAGCTGTTGCAAGAATTGAAGCCACACGACCTCCCATAACGTGTGACATTTGATGAATGGGCGCTGGCAAGGAAAATCCACATTTTTATCAAAAAATTGTGTTCAGCAACGAGGTTCATTTCTGGTTGAATGAATACGTTAACAAGCAAAATTGCCGCATCTGAAGTGAAGCATTGCAAGAGCTACCGATGCATCCCAAAAAAGTCACTGTTTGGTGTGGATTATGGGTCGGTGGCATCATCGGGCTTCTTCAAAGACGACAATGACCGGACCGTAATTGTGACTAGCGAGCGCTACCGTGTGATGATTGACGACTTTGGTTGCCCAAAATGAAAGAATTGGAGATTCCTGACGTGGGAAACAATGGCCCAGTTAAGAGCCGCCTTCGGTGAACAGTTTATCTCACGTTTGGTGCCCGTCAAATGGCCTCCTAGATCGTGTGATTTAACGCCTTTGGATTATTTCTTGTGGTGTCATGTTAAGGATAAACAGGGATAAACCAGCAACTAATGACACTCTGAAAGCCAATATTGAATCATTTATACGTGAAAAACCGGTCGATATGTTAGAGAGAGTGTGCCAAAATTGGACCTTACGCATGGGCCATCTAAAGCGGAGCCGCGTCCAATATTTGCATGAAATCATCTTCAAACATTAAATTATATCGATGGTTCTGTCGATTCCAATAAAGATTTCATCAATTTTTTCGAATTTTTTGTGGTGTTTTGAAAATCAAATACTATACCTCTTAAAAAATTACCCGTTATAAGGAAGAAAAGCATTATTTGAGACGCTTCTGTAAATCACCCCCGTTTACACTGCAAATCCCTACCTTCGTTGTCTTCACCGGCCTCCACTTCTCCACAAGAGCCTGAATATCCTCAGTACAAAACTGTTGAAGTGTCACAATGCCTATGGAGAAGGCAGCTCAAAATGACAGTTTGGACATACTCCAGTTCTTAAAAATTCCTCAAGGCTGAAGTCGAAACGTCGAACAAGAAAAACTCACGACGCGGTTGAATCCGAACTACAGAATCTCAGGTTTCTGACCGCGAAACCATATACAAACACATTAGATGGTTTCGTGAGTGATTTAAGGCAAATCAAAAAGAGAAAAAGTCATGGACAAAGCACACACATAATACAAACTGAAGACTCGTATGTCTGGTCCATTTGACATAATAAGAGACCTCTTTACCAGTAAAACTCACATCATTGGAATAAGTACAAGGGGAACCGGTTGGCTGGTTATGTGGGTGTTCCCAAATTGGTCAATCAGTACGTCAACCTTCTTTACCTCGTCTGTGACGTAGTCAATCTTTTTTTTTATATTTAACATGTCTTCTTCACTTCCAATAAATGTTTTGCACCTTCCCCCAAATGCCCTCTTGAACCGCATATACATTGCGTTGCATTCATATTCAGAATTTTCAAGACATTAGAATGTCTATAGTAGTGTTGTACTACGCATACAAATAAATGGTCTGGAAGTACATTTTATAAAAATAATATGAGAGATATTGATATAATACGAGTACTCACATGCTTACATACGAGTAGTTATAAATTGGATGTGGAAGTTCAAGTTGAGATGAAACAGGAGCTGTTGGAAATTCATTAGTTGAATTTTTCGGTAATTTTTTTCTATTATTCTCATGTAACGAAGTTTCCTTCGTTACATGAGAGACTTAGTTGAAGAGAAACGTATGAAATTTGACCCAGAGATCACACGTCCATATCAATCAATATCTTCAGTTATAAAGTTCTAAAGTATGGCAAATAAGACTGGTTATTACGACAGAGTACCAGAGAATTAGTTAGTTTTCATACTCAATATTTTCCAAAAAGTTTTCACGTTATATTTCCCATCGTTCGCCTAACAAAGATTTGATTTTTTTCAAGCAAGCCCAGAACTCTTTGGTTTTTCGAAAGAATATCACAGCCTAAGCACCACTGAGTTCATCATATTGTGAATATCATTCCATTAATTTGAGGTAATTTTCTGCCTTTATTTTGGTTGATAAAAACACCTTATGGTACAAAAGAATACATTTCATTCATTTTCATCAAGATACACTACAAGGGTCGGTATGATATGGAATCAAATTGAGTATCAAAATCCATTTCAGAGATTTGAGAAATGAAAATGATGCATGTGAGTAGTTGATGAGATATTTTATACATTTCTACCCAGAGAAATATATGAGAAAGGTCTGTTTCTTTCCATTCCGAGATAAACGAGATTTTCGACTGATAATTTCTTTAAAAATATATTTTTGCACGTGAGTGTCTACTCACTTCAATATATCTGAACAACATATTGAGATTTTTTTTCTGATGGTCTGGGTCGCTACTTGATTAAGATCCATAGTAATTTCACAAAATGAACCTAACGATTTAATGTTTACAAACTTTATTTACAAAATTTCACGACATGTTTCAACAACAGTATGCATTTCTCTTCAAAAGTTTGATTATGGGAGACCCGTTGAGCCTCTTACTTGTGAAAATTTTCATGCATAATCTAGAGAAATTAATTTTTAAGCAAAATTCAATTAAGTATTTTTTGTATTGGCTTAGATATGTGGATGACGTTGTGGTATGTTTCACAAGTACTAAGAGACAGATATTTTTCATAGGAATATTAGAAAAATTCATAAAATATTGGATTTACTATTGAAGATGAATCATAATGTACAATAAACATGATTTTTCAATTTATCACAAACCTTTCCATACGGATATTATATTCATTGTAATTCTGCCCATTCGTATCAACATAAAATAGCTTCTTATAATAGCGTTATTCATAGATTAGGCAACGTTCTTCTCTCAATTACAAATTTCAATTAAGCAAATTGCAGTAAACAAGGGATATTAATCTGAATTATTAGACAAAATACTTTCCAAAAAGTCTACGCAAAAGCGATTCGCAACGTTTTTTCTATTAATGAGTTAGATGATTGAAATGGAAATTATAGAGCTTCAACATATTGTGGACAAACAATAGAACATATGGTATATATTGCATATAGAACAAGTAATACGTTGGGAAAGTTAGTCTAAAATAATAAAGACAAAACATACGAATCCGAGAAATCAGGACTTTATAAATCAAATAGTGGAACTTGTCCTGAAGTATATATTGGTCAAATCGGCAGAACATTCAGGAACCGCATCCAGGAACATCCTATGAGCCAGGTTAATAAGAAAAAAAGTTCAAAATATTCACATAATCTTTTAGAAGAAAATAATATCTTCAAAGAAGGTTTCACACAGAGAAAATAAAGCTTCGAACGTTAAATCATCTGTAAACAATGTGGGTTAATAAAAATTTACTGACTAACCGACTTGATTTGTATGTATCACCATTACTGAACTTGTTTTCTCAGAAACCGATGTTCATAGACAAATTATTAATAATATAGAATTCATATAATATGCTATAGGTAATCACAATTGTAGTTTATGAAACATATTAGGACTTGTTGCTTTTTTCAGTCGTTTTTCGCAAGTTTGGTCCGTCCACTGGGTCCTGTTATAGAATATCCACATGAAGGTGCTTTCCTCACTGAGGATCCAGAGGAAATAATCAAGTCTGGTAAAAACCATCAAATACCGATGATCATTGGGTATAACTCCTTGGAAGGACTGTTCTACGAAATTATGAGAAAAACAAGAAATGATGCAAACCTCCCCAAAAACCTCGAGAGGGATATTCCATATGATTTGAACATTTTGAAGAACCAGAATCAGGTTCAAGAAGTAGCTCAGAAGATGAAGGAATTTTATTACAAAAGTGCTGATCTTTCTGAGAGTAACATTCATTGTAGATATATGGTGAGTATAATAATCAATTATCCAAGAGACTATATTGTATGTAACTGAAAAACAGTTGTTCCAGTTTTCTCAATTTCCATGTATTATTCTCAAACACATTCGTTACATCATTCCTGAATCATTTCAAAATTTGAAAAATGTAGGCAGACAACTTTTGGAATCAAACTCATATTCAAATTCATATAAACGACAATATATGATGGTCGATAAAGTGACTTTTGGTATAGCCTGTATCCATTTCAATTGAAATAAAATATCATTTTCTTACAATTTTACATTGATATCTGAAACAAACCAAAAGAATTTTTTCCACTGTATTACTGGTATAACCTTTTTAAGTTTTAGTTACATCCCGGTAACAAATGAAAATATTGTTAGAAATGTATCAGTTCATATTGTTCGATATTGATATGGAAATTCAAATCACGACTTTCCGAAATGAGATCAGATTTGACCTTTTGTTCATTGAAAAGTGATATTGTAGACTCCCATGAGTCGAATGAAATTGTATATTGGTTACGCTTCAACTAATAGAAAAATGCGATTTCACCCTGCCATGTAAAAGCGTCAAATGTCAATGATGAACGAGTCTCCCAAAGGATATCGACATCGATTTTCGAATAATAAATAGTTTCTTGTTTTTCTCTTCAGCTAGTTGCTCGAAAGCAGTTGAAGCTACCAATTGTATACATTTCAATGACGATGTTTCATCCAACTGAATTGGTGTAAGAATCATCGACAATTTTGAAAATAGTGAATAGTAGTTCTCCCTGTAATCGGCATCAGGCCTAGGTAGATCTGAGGTGACTGGGTCTCCACTGCAACATGAATCCAGCTGTTTGACAAACCCAATTAGTTTGTATGACGAGTGATAGCGTCAGATAGCGAGACTGAAACTCTGCTATACTCTGAACTAACGTTGTCAAAAATACACTATATTTGGGAGATCCTCACTAAACACTACTTGGACCGGAATGAAATGGCTCAGAGCGATGCTAATGAATTTTTCTGGTCTGATGAAACTGCCTGCAGCTCTCTCTCTGTCCCTTTCTCTCTCTCTATTTCAAGGGTTTCAGCAGATTCATTACCATCCAGGTCAATGTGATCGGAAATCCAGACTTGAGATAATTTGTTGAGCCTTTCTGTTTGAGAAGACTCTTCTTTGGTTCGCTACCAACTTGGACAACACTTGGTAAGAGCAATGAACTTCTAGGTTCACTTGTCTATCCGAGAATGGAATACGATCACATAGATTCCTAGGAAGGATCTGCGATGACTCTAAAACAAAACCTGAGGGTGTTCCATTTATTAACCAACATCTATCTTTGTTTGATGATTCCTTCTCCCGGAGGAGGAATTATTATCTATGTAGTTAGTTAGTCAGAGTACCAGCTAAAATAATGCCCTATAGTTTCAGGGTATCTACTACCAACTAGTGGAAAAGTATAATTTCTGTAGTTATTTCTTGATGAAAACCTAGTCATAACTTCTATCTACGGATATCAACGATGGCTGTGCCGTCTACAATCTGAAAATAATTCAATAACTTTCTCAAAAAACACTATCGTGGCAGCATCATGTAACTTTGAAGTACCTCATGCTCAAAAAATCTGAAACTGAAGAGTACATTGTTCCAATAATGAATGTATCAATATCCCCTTTTTGGTGAATACTGAAACGAACAACTCGTTACATCAGTTACAGTTTCCTTCATTCATGTACTCAACTTTCTCAACTGATCCGCAATGATTTTCTTTTCAGTTGGTTAGCGATGTCCATTTTGTTTACGGAATCCAGAAGTCTGCAACTCTTCTCAAACGCCATGGAACCGCACCAGTCTACGTATATAGGATGAGCCTAAACAGTTCCTTGAACTACTTCAAGAAATTCTGCGAAGTAAAGTACTTCAAAACAATGATTCTCGTCACACTAATGACCAAACTGGCAGGTAGTTCATCTCTCAAAGGCGTTTTCCAAAGCTTATACGAAAAACTGCCAGCAAATAAAGTTGATGGCGTGTCACACGCAGACGACCTGTTCTATTTATTCACAACGTTTTTCTCCCCAACCATAGTTAGGGGAAGCGAGGAAGACATCAGCATTCAGAAATTTGTCAAACCGTGGACTAATTTTGCGAAATACGGAAATCCTACCCCGGAGAAAGACGAAACTTTGAATGGAGTTATCTGGAAACCTATAGAAAGCGAAGAAGTGGATAATATATTCGATATCAATAAGGAAGTTACGATCACCAAGAACTTGGAATGCGACAGGGTTTCGTTCTGGGAAAAAATGTATCAGCAATATGCTGAGAGGGTCTAACAACTTAAAGTCACCCATTTTGACTGCTGTTCAGAGAGCACAAGTTTGTCACTTGATATTTGCACTCTATTACTCAACGTTGAAAGCACATTCGGAAGTTTTACTCATACAAGGAAGAAGAATTGTTGACTGGAATATTCTTTGTAATTCTTATATTCAATCAAGGAACTGATATATGGAACAACTACGGACGAATACGATTCAAGTAACTGTATCGTAAACAGCATATGCAGAAAATACTTATGTGATGTTTCCTGCACTGACGCCTGTTGTATATAATCCATTGCGTGGCGTGGTATTAGCCAGTGAATTATTTGTTTTCTGATACAGTCCATTAACCTACATTGTAGTTAAATCGAAATTGGCATGAACAAAATATTCTTTTAGTTAATTTAATTCAAATATGGAGTATAACAAAACAAATTGTCTCTGTGTGAGTTATATTTCCTAACAGATTTGTTAAATTCATGATACTTGAGACATGTTTAAAGGACTATTTAATTTCCTATTATTTAATTGAACTTAAGGTGGAGATACATGCCATCAGGTGATTGAATTATGCTGCTGAATCAAGTATTTTGTTCCTACTAGATCACCCTATATGTTAGATGCAGGCGAGGAAAATGAGGAATATATCGAAAAGGTGGTCAAAATAATCAAATTTTCATTTCTGTCATTTGGAACAGCTCTGTTATAGAATAATTATATGACTGTAATTTGTTTGATTATTTTTATAAGAGGCAAAATATCGTTTAACCGTCGTTAATGGGATTTTTGTTAAAAGAGGATAGAGTAGATATTTCAAAAATATTTTTAATGTGAAGTTTCTTCAATACCAGATTCTTTATGCCTATAATGTATTTCAAATTTTGTATTGATATTTAAGATCCATTTATGGATCGTATATTTTTCCATTAAATGTACCTGTTGTGACTGTTACATTGGTTGGCAACGAAATATTTGAGGAAAGAACATTATCGAAGGAATCGGGCCGGTACAGTTCGAAGTTAAGAATACCGTTTTTTTTTGGCAAATCTATTTCCAATAAAATTCTCATATATCAATGATGAAATGAAATATATTGACATTGGCTACACGACTTCGCATAACACTGATAATTGACCTTTCAAACCAGTTGATTTTTTAATTTTTTTGAATTTCGTGACTACTAATTTGCAAAACAGCTCGGTTATGGTTGCAAATGAGGAAAAGTATGATCCTTTCGAAAGTCTGTTACCAAATGCAGTTATCATGCTGTTTCTTCGTAGAATGATGAAATAAGGACACTGATGATTGTCAAAAAGAGTAGTTTCCAAATGACCTTCGCAGAATGATATATTCGAATTACCCCCTGAGAATTTCTTTGGGAGGGTATTTCACATATCCAGAGTTTTTTGTACACTAGGAATGGTAACAAGCTCCTTTTTTTTCTTTGGAAGTGGTCGCAAAAATCAAACGTTAGCTCGAAAGAAGCTCTCTCTCTCACTCACTAATTGTATGGTCATTGCCTTTTCCTCGGGATCATTACACTACTATCGAATTTCGAAACAGCTCAATATCAACCAAGCGTCTGGTCCTGATGAAGTGCCCGTCGTCGTACTTAAAAAGTGCGTAAATGAACTCGCACCAGTATTTCGCAAACTTCTCAACCTGCCTTACAAGAAAAGGGTTTTTCCTTCTTATTGAAAGATTGCTGGAGTTCAGCCTATTTCCAAAAAGGGCAAGAAAAATCTTTCAAACAACTGTAGACCAGTCGCTTCGCTATCAGTGATATCAAATCATGAAGAAAATCTTAAACCACCGTATCCTTGAATATATGGAAGGCGTCAACATCTTGAGCGATCATCAATATGGCTTTCGGAAACAAAGATCAACAGGCGACCTTCTATCGTATGTCACCCATAATTATAGGAATAACGCAATCTAGAAACATGGGGATTCACGAGCCGCTGCGCTTGATATTTCTAAGGCCTTTGACCGTGTGTGGCATGTGCTGGCCAAACTTGGATTCTATGGCTTGTAGTATCATTTTTGTATATGGCTCTCCAGCTTCCTGAAAAAATGTTTCCTGCAAGTGGCCGTCGGTAGATATCTGTCAAATACTTTCACCATCAACGCTGGT